GTTGCAGTTATTGGTTTACATGTTTGTTTCATCTATTAGATCATGAGCTATTTAAAGGTGAGGACTAATCTTGTGTGTCTTTAGCACCTGGTAAATAGAAAATGCTCTAGGAAGGTTTTACGAACAAAAGAGGCAACAAATCATAGCACTGAAACATTTCTTGTTTAGTGTCTGTGTACAATAACTTAAGAATTTAAAAAAAAGGGAAAAATACAAAATAACATACCTGTTCCATTGATGTTTCATGAAGTTCATTGAGATTCAAGGTATAAATCCCTTCTTCAGCACCAAATATCAAGTACTGATCTGAAATGACAAAAGTAATCCACTGATTTTGATATATAAAATACTCTTTAAAAGAATTTATATAATCTAAAATTAAGTATATATGTATTAACATAAGAAAAAAGAATTACTGTGGTCTGTAAGCAGTATTTTTTATTTTAATGCAAATAAGTAGTTAGAAACTCTAGCTCAAGGAATTGAGTTATATGCAAATATTAGCCTCAAAGCAGTGAAGAAAATTTTATGAAAAGAGGTTTTGAAGAATGGCATGCTAGGACTCCTCACTCATCAGAGGGTGCTGAGGACTGGCAGAGAATCTGCAGCAACTTTTCTAAATTCCCTCTTGGAGGGGATCACGTGCAACTGACATACAGAATGCAAATCAAGACCAGCTGATACAGACGTGAAGTATTTTTGCAGATGGGCTATTATTATAAACATGACATCAGAAAAACCAAGATCTGACTACAGCCTATTTAAAAAGTTAACTAAAACTGGGACGCTTGCTAGGGTACTCAATATCTTCTAGAAGATATTAGAAGTTTGGCCATGGTTCTGTTTGATCAGTTTTTATGATAATATAAAACAGCAGGTGAAGAACTTCTCCAGGCTAAACTGAAGTATCCTGAGAACAACTTAGAATGCCAAGAACATTGCTATAATGCACAGTATTTAGGATTAGTACTGGGAGATTAAAGGCATAAGCTTTGTGGTCAGACAGGACTGAATGGGGATCAAACTGCAGCTCTACTACCGATTGGCTGTGAAACAATGAACCTCTCTGAATGTCATTTTCTTCACCTGTGAAATAAAAGTACCTACAGCTTGGAGTTTTGAAAGATTTAGTAAGAATACCTCTGTGTGTGTGTGTGTGTGAGTGAGAGAGAGAGAGAGAGAAAGAGAGAGAGAAGGAGAGACCATACGTTTGTACATATCTCTATGTGTATCTTTATAAAGGCAGATGGCACAGAGTATATGGTTTCAGTGTATCGATATGGTGACTACACAGTGAAATTTTAATACCATGTGTCACCTCAAACACTGCTAATAACATAGAGAAACATATTTACCTTAAAAACATTTCTTTTTCAATTGTAACAAAATTTTCTTCAGAAAGGTATGCAGAAAGTGATTAAAACTGAGTGCTTTCCTGGTCTCATGAAAACACTAAACAATCAGAAAGATAACAGATAAAAATATATAGTACTACCTCTTGTGTCTGGGTTTATCCATGATGTTGCACAGTGAATTTTCAAGGGACATCCATTAAAAACCTTTGAAAAACATGCACCCATCTGGAAAAAACAAAAAATAACCAAATAAACCTAACGAGTACTAGTCATTTGCCTTACAGTGGTATCACAAAGGTTTCAGGCACAACTGTCAGATGATATAAGATTTTACTTAGAAGAATCATTTTATTCTTCCTATCTTCTCAAATAAACAAAGCAGTAATAGCAACTAATTCTGCACAATAACTGCTTACAGAAGAATTACTTACATGTCCCACATTAAGAGTAATACAATATTCTCTGGTAAGAAGGAAATGATAATCTCTACAAAGGTGAAAATTTTCTTACTTGGTTTCATGAGCCTAAAAATAGCACTAAGCACTGAATTTAATTACAAAGTGGAAAAGGTATGGTTGATTTGAAATTCATATACGGACTTTAATCTCAAAACAGAGATGTACTTTTAAAAAAAGTTGAGCAATCTGATTATTTTCCCTGGAAGGATTCAACAAAAAGCTTTAGTTTTTGATGTTAATATTTATTTATCAAGCTTATTTACAAACCTTTCAGATAATCAATACCTTATAGTGAAAAACAATATCACTCATTTGAACGTTTTTTGATATTCAAAGAGTAAGATGTTAATTTTGAAATTATTGTTCTGGTTAGAATAAAAAAATACAAGAAAGCTTACCCATTTAATTACTTTTACAAACAAAAACTTAAGGAAAAAAGAATACAGAAATATGTGGTAAGGACAGCATCGTGCATCATCTTAGAGCAGGAATGTTTTCTTTACCAACAGGGAGATAATACTGTGAGCATTTACTGTTGACTACAGTGGATTAAAAATATTAACACAAAATAATCAAAATATTAAATCTTAAGATTTCCTTTTTACTCACAGAAACCTACCAACCAGTATTTTTTTTTTTTTGAAGATGTTGGGGGTAGGAGTTTATTAATTAATTAATTTATTTTTGCTGTGTTGGGTCTTCGTTTCTGTGCGAGGGCTTTCTCTAGTTGTGGCAAGCGGGGGCCACTCTTCATCGCGGTGCGCGGGCCTCTCACTATCTCGGCCTCTTGTTGTGGAGCACAGGCTCCAGACGCACAGGCTCAGTAGTTGTGCCTCACAGGCCTAGTTGCTCCACGACATGTGGGATCCTTCCAGACCAGAGCTTGAACCCGTGTCCCCTGCGTTAGCAGGCAGATTCTCAACCACTGCGCCACCAGGGAAGCCCCGCAACCAGTATTTTTAAGATTTTAGTTCCCAAAAAAGAACGATAGCCTGGCAATACCACCAGGTGGTAGGAGACCTCTAAAAAATGTTTTTATGGTGTAGGGCAGAAATTATATCACTTAACTAACCCTGATAATTATCCTTTAAGATAGGTACCAAAATTCACATATTAAGGTATTGCTAAACCCCTTAAAAATCCAAATGAGGTACAAAACAATCAAACCAGTCCCAACCTAAAGCTAGTTTGTATAGTTGGTCCATAGTTATCAGCTCTTGCCTGTCAACTGTATACCTGATAAAGGAATTTCATCTTGTAGCCCAACAGGAAATCTCATCCCTATTGTATACATAAATCTCTAGCCTCAGGAGGCCTTTACACTCAAAACTTCTTTTTGTAAAATGAGGTATGATTATTTAGATCTTTATACTAATTAAAAAGTAGAGTTAAAAAGTAAAAAGGCTAAATAGTAGAGTTGAGAGGTTAAAAACCAGAAAAATTATGGACATTGTCTAAACTAGTATTACATAAGGTTTTAGATTAGAGATTTGTATCAGCGAAAATGTAGTTCTATCCATACTAACCTAAAATTACATTGAGTTAATATCATTTTAATCTTAAAAAGGATAGCATAGTATATATAGATATAAAAAACCTACAAGGACTATAACATAGGACATTTACGTTCTAGTTCTAGGTCTGGTTAGAGTTGGGTGCTCTTTTGTGATCTTGGTGACTAAGATCTTTGGGTCTCAGTTTTATTCATGGGCAAAAAATAGAGTTTGGGCCAGATGCTCCTTCAATGTTCCCTCTAGTTCTAAAATTCTATGTTTTTGATAACTGTGCATTTTTCACATTCCTTCAAAAATATGTGCAAAGAAAATATTAATAATTTTTGAATAAAGCAGCTTTTTAAAATGTATAATTTATCGTAATTTTCTTTTGAAAAGTTACTTTTCAGATATAATCAATTAATATGTAAATTAGCAATCTTTTAGTTTTTTTCAATAATAATGGATTCTTTCAAACAGGCAAAAAAAATCCAACCAAAGGTACACATTCAAGCAATTATTTGTCATTGTATTTAGTTTGAAAACTTAACCTATTTGGTATTTATACTTACGTGCACTTTAGGTGTTGGGGGTAGGCCATTACTAATAGGCTTCTAGAAAAAGAACACATGCATGATTATACTTCTTGTTGTTTGGTATATCAGTACTGTATTTCAAACACATGTATCAGAATAAAACACATGAATACATTCTCTTGGTCAAACAAAACATTATAGATAATACTGAAGTCCCCTATAATCCTTTCACACTCCACTTATTCCTAGTACCTGCCCCCCCAAAATGGTTTATTGTGTATCCTTCCAAACTTTTCTCTAGGCAATTATATGTACTCATGTATTTGTGTATCCTTCCAGACCTTTTTGCACATATTTATATACATGTCCCCACAGAAATACTGTTTTTGTGTGTGTTTTAGAACATAAACAGTTATTCACTGTTTATCAACTTGTTCTTTGCCTTAACACTGGGACAGCATAAGTACAGTGACTCATTTGCTTTAACTGCAGCACAGTATGAATATAACATACTTTATTTAGCAATTCCCTAATTGTTATTGGATATTTAAAATTATTTTCAAATTTTTACTATAACAACAATGTGGAAATGATCACCCTTGTACATACCTTACTACATGTGTGAATGTTTTCTTTTAAGGATATGTTGTGAGAAGTGAAACTTCTGGAATATGGGGTCTGTACCTTTACATTTTAGTGGATACTGACTGCCAAACTGCCTTTCCAAGTGCCCACTTCATATCGCTCCCACCAGCAATGTACGAGAGTCCTGGTTCCTTATGGTCTCACAGACACTTAATGTTCTCAAACTGATAACAGTTTTTACAGGAGTAAAAAGTGTTTTCTCCTGTGTTTCTCATTAACTTGCATGCCTCTGATTGCTAGGAAGGTTGAGAATCTTTTTAAAAAATAGTTTTTCCTCTTCTGTGAATTCTTCCCCCCCCGCCCCGCCCCCCCCTTTTTTTTTAACTGAGTTACCTTTTTCTTATCTATCTGTTGGAGCTCCTTATATATCTAGACTTAAATACTTTATCTGTTATATATATATTACAAATGTTTTCTCCTAGTCTGCACATTATGTTAACCTTGTTTACAGAGTGTTTTGTCAAGTGAAGTTTTAAATTTTGATGGACTCAAATGCATGAATCATTGTTCATAGTATACTGATAATTTAAGGAGAGGAAAAATAGCACATCGCTCATCTATTACAATATTCTCAACAGTACCAGAAATTTCTCCAAGGGGCTACATTCCTGGGGTATATGATTTATCCCTGGAGAAGGAATCTCCTTGGAAGAGATTATAATTTAAACGTAAATTTAATGAAAGTCTAGGTTTCTTTTGAGGTTAATCTTAACAGCGTTTTAAGGAATGACATTATAATTTTTTCTCAATCTCATATAAATCAGAATTGTTTAAATGAGACCAAAATTAAAAAGCTACTGTTAATTGATTTCATATACATGATACAAATGAAATATTCTGTGTAGTACTACTTACATGAGTAACTTTTAGACATTTTTAAAATTAAGACTATGAAATTTTACTTTGTAGATATGTTTATGAGGATGTACAGCTAATACTGCCATCCATTTCTGATAATTTTTTTCCATTTTGCAAATGATTTATGTACTTATTTTTTATCACATATCATCTATTTTAGCAAAACATCATTTTTAATTAGGGAGCTTTGAATGTTCTGTCAGATTTAACTTAAGTACTGACAGAATTGGCTGTAAATAATTTCAAGAAGCTGCACAAACTGTAATCATGTTTCAATATACCAGGGATACTGTTTATCCTGATACAGTCATGACATATTTATTTCAGAATTATTGAGACTGTTAGTTTAATTACTAGTTCCTTATCCTGATAAAATAAGGTAATAGAAAAAGTGAATTAAAAGTGCATAAATTAAAAAGCGTATTCATCTCTCAAAGGTTATTATACTGTGTTGCAAAATCATTAGGCTGCATTTTTATACTACTACATTAGCAGGGCTGCTAAAATTTAAACTGATGAAAGCAAAAAGGCACTACTCAGTTGGACAGACTTCATAAATCCTATTATTCCTACAGGACATTTCACTTTTGTTAAAAATGTCTTAAGTTTCACAAATTACAATGCATAACCCCAGTCAAGTGCTTTAACTGAATTAGAAAAAATGGTATGTCATATCTATAGTGAAATCTTATGAAACAGTTGAACAGATACAGAACAAAAGCCTCTAGCAATGTGCTTAGTGCACAAAGTATAGCTGTATGCACATAACCATATGTCCTGTAAATTTCTAGAAAAATAACCAATGTCATTATACACAAAGACTTCCCCCAAAATACTGTCTTGTGATCTTGTTGGCAACCGCTGAATTGGGAATTTTAAGGATTTTTTTTTTGTTTTAAGTTCTATGATGAGGGACAAATGTTGCCTGATGATTAAGAGTAAATTCTTTACAAATGTTAACAATTTTTAATCTCCCTGATAAATTCTATTTATGTTTTAGTAGTTATGTCATAGTGTTTTATCTAACATTTGTAACAGGAATAGCTGGTAAGGCTAACTTCACCTTTCCTAAAGTGATATCTTATATCTACTAGAAAATAATCTTAATTTTTCTTCCTTGTTAGCTATTTTCTTTGAGTAAGAGTAGTAATATCACAAATTATGTAACAGAAATTTGTCCTGAGGTAGAAGCTACGGCTTTCCTTATCTGTCCATGTCCTTCCTTCAGTAAGTTCATTAGACTGTAAAAGCAATGTATAAGAATCATTCTAATCAACAAGAATAATATTTTTTCTCAACAATCACAAGAATACTAAGTGTTTAGCTGTATGCAGAGGTCACATTTTATAATATGCAATATAACAAATTGGCCTAAATAATCTGAAGAGTAGAAAGCTTTCATTCATGTTTACCATAGCGAAGTCATTTTTTTCAAGATTTAAACAATCTATTATCATTATAATTCATATATTAAAATATAAACATACAAATTTAAAATATATAATTGCTAGAGTTCCATCAATTATAACTGCAAAACTAATTTAATAGTGAAAAAGGAAACACATATAAGTAGAGCTTATGAATATAAATACCTACTGGTACATCTTTCTTTTCTTTCCTCGCAAGGTTTGTGCCTCTGTGGTCATTCTGTTGTTGATATAATGAACCGTCTCGTTCACCATTTAACTGGAAGGAGCTCACTCCATTTCCTTCAGTAAGATATATTTAAATATATTAGAAAAGGATTAATTTTTATGAAAATTTTCATTCAGGAAATTATCAAGTAGGAAACAAAAAATGTTATCTCTGAGACAGTTTCAGCCTTCATTTGGGATTACCCTATCAGAATATTTACTACTGTAAAAAGTCTTTTATATATATGTTCTTCTACTTTTATCTCTATTTCTTTCACATATGCAAATTAAAATTCAGGCTGTATCTAAGTACATATATTTGTGTTAAAAAGAAAATACTGAATACATAACTACTTTCAGGAAAGGGGCAATTTATAGTCTGTTATCCAAGAAACATTAGTTGCTCTTTTCTTAATTGCTTCTTTTGCATAACACACAAGACACTTTACAGTATTAAAACAGTACCTTCTAGTATTACTTTGGAGGCAAATACCTAGCAAATACTGACAATCATTTTTCTAAAAATGGTTAAATGAAATAAAATAAAGGAGTCAAGCAAGGTATCCTCTTCTTTTTCTAAAACAGAAGTAGCCTAGGACCAAACACATTTTCCTTGTTTGTTCAGAGTTTAATTTCTTTTGTTGCCACACTCTAGATATATAACGAATTGGGTGCAAACGATTCTCCAAAAGAGGGAAGGCTAGATATGAAATGAGAAAGAAAAGGCAAAATATCCCAGACTGGGTCATAGGTAATCCTGTCATAAAAACACTTCAAACTATGAGGCAAAAAGCAGAAAACATCTCTAGAGCCATTGCCTTCCTTCTCCCTTCCACAAAGGAATTTCAAATAATCTCTTAAAAGGAGTCCCTCCATTTTTTTCACACATTATGAAAACCTGGCAACGTTCTTATTTCACCTTCCCTTCCCCCATTACCTAAAGCAACAGGCTTCTGTGGAGGTAACCTGGGAGGTGGTGGCCTAGGTGGAACTTGGGAGGGCTTTGCTGGGCTCTCTGACGTGGGACATCTCTTGATTGTTCCTTGATTATCATCCTCAGTAGAATGAGTTTCCTGTGGTATGAATATGGACTTAGGCTGAAATAATACAGAAAAGGAGACCAATGATTAAACATGAAATTATTCGTGTTTTATTAAACATGAAAAATACTGAATATCTGCCCTGAAGTAAATATTATCATATATCAGAGGCTTGCAAACTGTGTTTACTAGTTGAGTTTCAACTCTTATTGGATTATTCAGCTATCTGGTTCAGGTAATCTTAATATATATCCTAAAAATGTACACCTAAAATATTTTCTCAGGAAAAAAAAAAGACCTGTTTCTATTAATTCCTCACAAGCCTACCCACTTAGACTTGCCAAATAAAAATATTCTGGTCTTTACGATCCCCAATTTAAATGAGTCTCCTTTTATTTTAAACATTCAGGCTAATCAAAGTTCAGCTCCTTACAAGGCTAATCTAAACTGTCTCTTTAAGGTGACTCATTATCTTTTATGTTAATGCTTAATCTTTCAGACAGGGGGCAGAAGAAGATGCCAATTAAAATTTTATCAAATGAGAGAATACTAATTCAGCAATATGGGATACCTGGGGAACTCTGTGCAGACAATGGAAAAACCTTCAGTCAGCTGAAGGTTTGGAGAATTTATAAATTCTTATAATGTGTCCCTTATTAGGAAGACTGCTCAGCACTTATCTCTTTGAAATTCAGATCTCTGTATTTCTGCTAACGTAAAACTGAACAAGCAAGAACAGTCCTATTTACCTGTGTGAATCATGATTTTCTTAAAAGTAAAATAAAAACAAAATATAGTAATACATTGGATATCTAGACTGGTCAGACTCCAATTCTCATTTATAAATCAATTTATAATTGATTTCAAACCTTACAACTCATTTTATAAACAGTTCATTTTATAATTAGAATTTGCTATGCATATGAACTTAATCAGTTACTAGTAGATTATAGATTTTGAAGAAAAAAATCTTATTAAAAGTATGAGTTTTCTAACCCAAGTGAAATACTAATCCATTAATTTAATCATTTTCATGTACAAATTTCTGGAACTTATTATTTAGAATAAACACCAAATGACAAGTTGGATGATTTAAAAAAGACAAAAACAATCACAATTGTCTACTTATATCATGGTTAGCAACTTCTTCATGACTTTTCTTTGTGGATCCCAAGTTTAAATAAGCCACAGAGTAAGTATTAATACAGTATTAAAGTGGCAGACACACATACACAATTCAAACTGAGAAACAAATCTGCTTACCTTTGGTGGCAAAGGAGGTGGAACTTTTGCTTTCATGGTTGAACTATAAAAACATAAACACTTAGAATCAGAACTCGTCATTTTACAAACAAATCATTACTAAAATATGATTATATTTTTAAAGATATGGAAGAAAATTTTGTATAAACAAGTTTCTTTTTCTAAGGTTATGAGCGATTTTCAAAATACTTTGTGAAATGTTCAAGTTATGCTAAATGAAGTATTATTCCAAAAGTAACTGAGTAGATATGCTTTCCTTTTTTTTTTTTTGCGGTACGCAGGCCTCTCACTGTTGTGGCCTCTCCCATTGCGGAGCACAGGCTCTGGACGCACAGGCTCAGCGGCCATGGCTCATGGGCCCAGCTGCTCCGTGGCATGTGGGATCTTCCCGGACCGGGGCACGAACCCGTGTCCCCTGCATCCGCAGGCGGACTCTCAACCACTGTGCCACCAGGGAAGCCCTAGATATGCTTTCTTGTTTTCAAATATTATTTTAGTAATTAAAACTGGAAAAGATAGCCACAATTCCAATTTATATCAATTGAAAGGTAAATAATAGAAAAACACAAGCAACAGTTGGTTTAAGGAAAAATAGCAAAATGATATAAAAATATATTACAATGTAAGCTTCATTTTTACTACTGTTAGATATGGAATATCTCTGATGAAGCTCATCAAAAGCTATATACGTACTCTATGAAATTACTGGCAGAATTTATTTGGTTGAAGCTAAGATTCATTACAACTCAGAACTGGAGTTTTAGAAGTACTAAAAATTAAAAGATTATGGAGCATATACTCTCAGATGAGGAGACTGAGGCCCAGAGAGGTTAAGTGACCTGATTCAAGGTCACAG